TCCGTTCAGACCAGAACACCAAGAGAGAGAGATACTCTTGTACATACAATACTAGCACTTTTTTTGCCTTGTTGCTTTCGCGCAAACGAGCCGTCAACTTGCTCAGCTCGCTCTCTCGCCCGCCGGACATTCTGAATTGCCGTTTTGCACTGCCTTGTCTGCAGCCAAGTGACGGAGTGGACGGGTAATTACAGGAAAAACTTGCATTATGTTATACACAAGTGGAATGAATTTTCCGACTGGACTTCAGCTTAAGTAATGAAATAATTTTTCAAATTGTTTTGGCTCACTTGCCAAAACTAAATCCTCAAGTTCAAGAGGCTGGTGTGAAATTTTCCAAAAGCTTATTTTTTTCTAAAAAAAGAAAAACAGGCTGAAGTTTTACAAGTCCAAAGTGAATTAATTCATTTTTAGTAAAAAATTATTTTATTATTTTAATCGCAATGACCCAATTCACAAATATCCATTTTCAAATTGAATTTCAGAAGCGAATTATAAAAATGAAGACTTTCTCACCACTCGTCTTATATTTACAAGTTAACAATGAATGAAAATGAGTCTGAATTTATTTGCTGCAAGTCAAACAAAAAGAGGAAATTGATTATAAATTTACACGTGATTGTGAAATCATCAGAATCTCATTGGGTCTTTTTTTATCTCAAAATTTTCAGCAATTCTTGCTAGAGGAAGGGCCGTTTTTTTCTCTAAAAATTCAATGTTTCGCTCACAAAAATTGAACATTTTTAATTATTTTTTTTCTTAATAGTTTCAAAAATGAAAACAATAAATAAAAACTAATTTTTTGTTAAAAATTTAATCATAATCATAATTTTTAAGCCATCTTAGACAATTTCATTAAGAATTACTTGAGCATAAGAAATCAACCTCGGAAGATTTTCTTTGATTGATTTTACTCCTTTATTAACTCTGGAATTCTATTAAAACTTTTTTACTAAAATTTAGTAAATTTATTTTCAAGCAGATGAAGCTTTGTTCTTGGTGCACGAAAGCAATATTAGCAAATGGGCTGCTCACTCACTAGCCACACTGCACGTGCGTTCACATGAAGTCCACCCTGGCAGGCGTCCCTGAGGATTTCTGAAGCAAGGTCTGGTATTCGTGGCACGCGCCGCTCGCTTTCAACCGGCGATCGTGCGTCCCTTTTGCACGGGGTACTGATTAATAAAGCACCTTGGCCGATCCGGCGGCCTCTCTATCGCATGCACGCACGTTAGCAGCACAAAGGGGTAGCAGCATGAATAATCATGAATAAATACACCCCCGTGGTCATCCCCGAGCCATAATACCCGCCCGCCTCGCGCCGCCGCCACTCTGGCGTGAAGATGAAAGTGCCAACGCACAGCAGCAACGGCGGCACTCAATGCCCGCTTTAATTGCACCCTCGCAGGCTAATTGGTGTTTGCCGCGCGCACCAGCGACCACTCGTTCCCTTTCAAAATCGAAACAAACTACAGAGAGAGTCGCCCTGTGCAGAAACAAACGCGTTCCGCTTTCTCCTAAAGGCATGTTATTTCTTGACCCCCGATTTGCTTTGCTGCATAATTTATTATAGTTTGTTGAGTAAAAGCCAAATTAAATAATTGTTTCTTTGAACTGTTGCAAACCTTATTAATATTGATTTAACTTTGCTGAAAATGTTTTGATAAAATACAATTTTAAACTTATTTCTTTGCTGCAAGGAAAATTTATTTTAAAAGATTTCTTGTCTTAATAACAAAATTAATTTAAAAAAACTAGAAACAAAAATAAATATTTTGTTATAGTTAATTAAAATTAAAATTTATTACAAATTTATATTTATTAATATTTAACCTAAAATTAAAAGTAAGGTGAACGATTCATATTGAATTCTACCTGAAAGCACTTGTTATTTACTGTTGAGCTTCATGTATACAATCGTTTAAGACCCTTGAAAGGATCAGCGTGATATGCCCGTTTAATTTTATATCAATGAAAGTGCGTAGAGACGAGTGAATGGTCAAACGAACTGAAAGAAGTTTATGTAGCGCGTGCAGAGAGAGGAGCCAAAAGCGCGCGAGGGTCAAAAAGGACAAGTTTCTCGAGCACAATTATCGACCAAATTTAAAAGCAGGGCCCGCGAGGCTGGCTGGAAGCGCATCTGGCCGAGCTCTATACTCTCATTCTCTCCACTCGTTCGCTCTTCTCTTGTGTTGGCAGCAGACACGGCCCGAAAACACAAATTCACGGGCTGAGAAATAACACGCCCGGCCGGCGGTATGAGCGAATTTGCGAGGGCGGATCCGCCTCTGCTTAAGGGCTGCATCCCCCGAGAGAGTAATTTGTCTTAGAATTTCGCTCCAACGTCTCTCTTTCCGATGAAATTTCACGAGGATAATATCCGAGTGTCGTCGCAACGACGTCGCCGAGCCCTACTTGCCGCCCTCGCGTTCACCCGTGCACCCGGCATTATCAATCAAACTTCAATTAGCTCCAGCGGCAGCGATAAAGTGAGTGCGAGGCTGCTTGAATTTGACTGCGCCGTGAATAAATCACGCGCGGGGCCCGTCTCCAAAAATGGTTCCGCTCGATTAGGAGACTTCTGCTGCGGTTTGCTTCGCTCTCAATTTGTCAAAATAAGTTCCTTAGTGACAAATTGCTATTTGTTCTCTTCTATTCCCATTCTAAAAGCCTCATAATCTTTGAAATTAAGTGCTGTTGATTAAAAAATGCATTAAATTTTTTATGACAATTGCGTCCAGGTCATTGCTGATTTTTTTTTTATTTAAAAAGAAAAAGTCGAGACCCTCTACCAGTTTTGGTTACAGTTTGCATACTGATTTTGATAAAAGTACAAAAAAAGAGTCAGCAAATTGAAATAAAATGACATTTTACCAAAATCTGATGATAGAAACCGGGATTTAACATTGCTGAAAAATTTTATCGAAATTGAATTACTGTGGAATTGAAAAAAAAAATGGGAATTCAGAAAAGAAAATTTTTAATTTAATTATTATCATTGTCATAGGCAAGAATATTATATAAATAAAAATTTTCTCACAGAAAAAATAGGAAATTTATCTAAAAAATTCTCAGAAATCTTACCTAAAAATAATTTAAATCATTCAATGGTGTAGAAGTTTGCACATAGACCGAACTTTTCCAATTTTTAAATGGATTCGCAATAAAAACGCAGCTTTCAGGAAATTGATTCTTTTGTGTGCAAGTTTCTCGTTGGTGGCGGCGGGCGGGCGAGAGAGAGAGAGTGACGTCAAAATTTGTCCCATTCCTTGATCGGCAGGTCTTTAGAAAAGCGCGTGTGCGGTGCTATTTACCAGCCGAACACATCTCACGTCGCGCGCGACAGCAGCATTCGCAAAAGCGGGGGCGAACATTTCCATCACATTTTTCGTGTGTGCGCGCACCGGTGTTATAAGTGGAAAAGCGGCTGATAAATCGCCAGGACCGCTGCCAACAACACTTAACTCTGCGTTATAAATCCGTCAAATTAATCTTTTAAGCTTAAATTATGCGCGAGGCGTTAAGTGTCGCCCTGGGAATTATTATAACAGAGCAATCAATAAAAGTGAGGGTGTGTGTGAGAGAGAGCTAGAAAGCCCCCCGAATCTCTCCCTCACTTCAGTCGCTTCCAGTGTTTACTCTTCTCGTCGTGTGCGATTATTATTCCGGCGCGGACGACAATCACGGGAAAATCGCCACCTGCTCAGCTTTTCTGCCGACGTCGGTGTTAATTACACGGGCGCGCCGGCAAAATTATACTTCCAAATGCGGTTTATCTCTCTCTTTGTTGTGCTGAAAAGCAGCCGAGCATCTCATCATTGAAAAATATCTGGGTCGCTTGTGACTGACTGCTGATGTGTGCCAGTGAGAGGGAGCGACGGATTTCCAAGAACAGCCGCAGCCACACATGCCTCCCTCTCGTATCTGTATCTTCGTCCGATGTGTACACGAACATGATTTATGGTCGATAATTCTGCCGCCGCCGCTGCAGCCTTTTGCAATCAGGTCAGCAGCAGCAGCAGCCGCCGCTGCTTTTTGCTCTCTCCCTCTGTCAATCTCGAAATAATTAGCATAAAAAGCGGGCACGCATATTATCTGCACTGCACGAGTCTCTCCGGGGATGGCAATCTGAACGCGGCTGGGAATTAGCGCATGAAAAGACCGCCTCGGACGGGGATCGACGGTCGCATTCATTCAAAAGTGCGGTAAATAAAACGTTATTCCGCCGGCGGTATATCGCCCGCCCGCGATTGAAAGCAGCTTTTTATTTGTTGTGTTTCAAAGCGGGCTGGAGCTTTTCGGTCGCAGGGATAGATGATATCGACGCCGAGCGACGACTTTTTTGTGTAGCGAAAATACGTTCATTTTGCGCAGTTGAACGCGATCCATGCACGATTCAGTGGGTAAAGATTGCATGCAAAAAAAAAACTCCACCCACTTGATGAGAAAAAGCGACCGACAAGTTACGGGTATTTAAAAGTTACCTGCGAACTTTAGACCAAAAGTTTGGATTTCAGAGCATTTTGAATTCTCTTTAAATCTCTTGGTATAAGTCGAACGAATTAATTTTTGAATTTATTTATTATATTGATTAAATTTATGTTTATAAAAGTTAATAGAACTGTAAATAATTGTTAAAATATAAAAAATGTATTTATAAGAATATAAATGTTAAAATAGGAAATAACGCGACACATTTAAAGTACCGAGAGATTTAAAGAGAAATCAAATTATTTAATATTGATTAGAAGCTTATGCATATAAAAGTTAATGGAACAGAAAATAAATGTTAAAAAGGCATTAAATGCGTAACGTTTTTTCCTTTTTAACATTTATTTTCTGTTCCACTAACTTTTATAAGAATAAATAATATTTAATCAATATAATATATTAATTAAAGTAATTCCTTTGATTTGAATTTTTTTTTAAATATCCCTTAAGCCACTAATTATATCAAATGTAAGTAAAGAGATAAAGAAAATGGGTTGTTTTTCACTAACCTTACAATCCTCGCACTGGAAATGTACTGAATAAGTCTGGCCACAGTCATAACGTTCTACAACAGCATCAAAAAGATGTGCAGCCTTTCTTGCAAGCCGATCCAAAGATAGAAGAGCCTCAAGGTGGCGATTACACTCAAAAGTACGTAACAAACGACGACTTACAGGCACCTCTTTATTATTAATTGTATTACTCCTAGCATTATTGTTGTTGTGGTTGTTAATTGTAAAAGTGTGTCGCTCATCTTCATTCATCTCTATTACATTATTATTGTTGTCGTCATATTCTTCTTCAAGACCAGCCATCAGCACACTCTCGACGGAGTGCTCGCAACAAAACGGAAGTCGCAATTTTGAAACCTTCCTTCCAAATTCGTAAATACTCTGGTTGTCTTTTTTACACAAAGTCTCAAAAACACTTGGCTTTAAATAATGAAGGCACTGGTTGAAATACGGAGGATGTTGACTTCGCTTATTATTTTCTGGCGTGTCGGTGGTGGAGGAGGCGGCGGCGGCGGCTGCTGCTGCGGACGATGATGATGATAATGACGACGGCGGGGGTGGCGGCGGGGGCGGTCTACTGCTGGCACTATTATCACTAGAAATAGCACTGACAGTTTGCTCGAGCGAACAGGGCGGCGGGCACGTGTAGTGCGGCCGGTGCTGGTCTCTGCGAATCCGCTCCTCCAGCTGTTCGGCGGCCGGCGGGATGTCGTCGTCGTTGTTGTTGTTGGGGGCACGCACCGGGGGTGTACTTCCGGGGGTTGGGCAGCCCAAGCCCCAAGATGGCGGAACACCGATGATCTGTTGCTGCGTGGTGCCCATGTTGCTGTTGAGCAGCTCCGGGGGCACGGTGTGCGGCCACCAGGACGACGAAGACATCAGGGTGCGGTTAGGCAGCCCTGCCGAGGCCCGGGGCGAGGTCCAGTTGGCGTGAGCCGCTCCGCTCAGGCACAGGGCCGAAGCCACCAGCCAGCAGAAGAGGCCGGCGGCCGGGGGCATCGCGGCCCCCAACCTCCTTTTTCTTGCGCCGCTTCCGGCGGCAACGCAACGCTGCTGGGCGATGCGTCGCGCGCTGCCGCTCGCCAACGACGGCCCCGCGCCCGTTAGAACTGAGGAGCCGGCGTGCCCCCGAGGTCTCGCACCCCCTGCAGGGGCGAGTGGAAAAAAGGCAGGTAGTCGGCGAGGCGAGCAGCAGGGCGGCGACCGTGGCAAAAATCCCCGACGAATCTTGCGGCTTCTTCGGGGTCGTGCCGGCGGCGCCGCAGCGGGCTCTGCCGGGGGTCGCAGCTCTGGGCCTCGGAGGTGTCAGCGGCGGCGTCCAGAGGTGAGTGAGAAAAGTGCTGGGATCTCGCTTGGTGGTTTCGGCGCGAGCTAATAGACGCATTTCCAGACGTGATTGGGGCGAGACTTGGAAAGTCCTGCCGCGACCTGAACAACAACCTCGGTGGATCTGCCAATGGGGGGCGCTGCTGCTCCTGTTGCTGCTGCTCGTCGTCTACGACCACCACCGACACGGCTCCGGATACAACCAGTTTGATCAGCGTCAGACAACTAAGCAAGCATTTGCGCACCCAGCAGCCGACGATGTGCGAGACGACGAGCGCGTAGAACAGTCCGTAGAACACGGTCAGCGACGACGACTTGGTGCTCGCGTAGAACGCCACCAGCAGCAGCAGCAATGACGAACTCACGACCACCTTCACAAGGGCACCATTTCTCAGGCTCATACTGCCGCCGTGCTGCGCCTAGCCCTCCATGATTTGCACTTTTCTCTTCCTCTGTATCTCTTTCTCTCTCTCCGGCTGGTTCGTTGGTCCTGCTTCTTCTTCTTCTCTCTTTTCCTCAGCGCAGCTCTCTCCACTGTCACACTCTCTCACATTCACACCGCGGCGGCGAGCTTCTCTCTGCGCGCCTCTCCCGCACCGGCGGCACCACCATCGCAGATGAACCTCGCTCGGCCGCGCCGATCCAGCTCGGTTTCCAGCGCCCGGCGCCGGGGCGGCGCCACCCTGCGACCCATCGTATCCGCCACGTTGCTGAAACCATAACCAGATGGCGAATCGCACTGACCCACAAACACAGCCTTCCTTAATCAACTTACTTAATAATATGCGCGCTCCTTCCTTAACGGCCTCTCACGTAATCCTCTGCTCTCTGCCTCTTCCTGCGAAAGCACGCCGCCGATCGCATTTCCGTTATTTGACGAGAAGCTCTTCTTCTTCGTCGTCTCTGAATAATACGCCATCCTTCCGTGCTCTGCATGAAATGAGCTCCCTGCGTGACTAATCAATCGGCCGCTAATCAATTGGAAACCCGATCATAGTTCAGAAGTTCGAAAAGCTGGAGCTTCGCAGCACAAAGTTATGCAACCGGCGCTACACCAGTGTCAAACAATAAGCCTACACGTGCTTTGGCAGGAGCTTAATGGTTGCGAGTTATATAAAGAGCGGCGAACTTCAGTGAGCTTTTCGCGATTGGCACCTTTACAGAAATAATACCTTCCATGACTTCGTTCTATTGCGTTTATTTTAAATTCCATTTTCGTTAATTCTATGCTTTTTTAACTCTAAAATACTTTCAATTAATATGTTATTAAATTGAGCGTTTGCTTCTGTTAATATTGTAATTTTCAACACATTTAATATTATATTTTGCCGTTTCACACCGAAACATAAAAAGGTTATTTTCAAGTTTCATAAATTTCAACTCTACGCATTTTTGGATAAATGTAATTTATCCAATTTATTAAATTATGTTTTTTACAAGTATTAATTAACAGTTATTTTTATATATCAACTTTAAACTTAATATTGATTAAAATATAGCTATAAAATTTAATTTGTGTTGTGTCGTGATTCGTGATACATTCAGAACAGTGATATTGAAAAATATTTTAAGAAAAGTGCCATATTCATTTTGAATATTGCGACTTTCTATCTATACCTCGTTATTTAAATTTCTTTTTTTTTTTGTAGCTCTGCAAACATTTTTTAATAATCATTCCAGTCCAATCTCGGTAGTGTTGGCCCAGAAAATAACAATTTTTCTTCATTATTTTCTCTCCATCTGAAATAAAAAGGCCAGAAAAAGTTAACAGTTGGTGTGCTGCAAGTTGACACGAAGCAAAAGCTCTCTGGTATAATATCCATTTAATCTCGAGATTGATGAGCATCAGTAAAGCGGAGCAGAGCTCGTCACTCTCGTCCTTGGACCCCACATAATGTACAAGTGAAGCGAAACAAAACCACCTCTCAAACTGCACTTTGTTTACTCGCAAGCCAGAGCAAATAATTAAATCCTCGTAACAGAGGCAGCCGACGACGGAGAGAGCATGGATTGTGTTCTGGCTGCTGTCTAATTATTTCAGTCCCGGCAGCAGCAGTGTTTGTGCAGATGCAACTGCTGCCAGGAAATAAAAAGAAAAAAACGGCGAAAAAGTCGGGGACACGTACGACGTGTGTATAGTATCACAACTTTGCAGCTGCAAACGACCGTGTGGTGCAACAGAGACATATGCGATGTATATTCTGACGCTGGAGCTCGGGCGGTTCAAAATTATGCTTTGAAATATTTTTGCAATCAGAATGTTTGCTTTTACAAGCCGGGACGAGTGATATTTGTTTTGCAAAGCGGACTTGGCATGACGACAAAAGGAACGCAAGGCCCGTGTTAAATTTAATTTAGCAAAGATTTTAGCAACACATCACTGAGTAAAATATGGTTTTTATTCTATCGGTGTTTATAAATAGATCAAAAACTGAAAGCTTGAACATTTTTTAGAATATAATAAATTAGTTGATGAAACTAATAAAACAATCAAAGCAAAAAATTTGAATTGTTGCCAAGCATTTCTTTCCGCTGACCTTAATTTTTATATTTTTCGCAATCACAGTTTATTAGTTCAAAAAAACAATCAATTTTTTTTCATCTCATTGATGCGATTGTGATGCAATAATAAAAAACAATTTTTTTCTGCTTACAATTAGAATCATTTAAATTATTATTATTATAATTTTCTATTTTTACTTGATGTAATTTATTAATTTTATATAATATAATTATGATAATGATTTTATCATAAAAGTAAAAACTAGTTAGAAAATAGAGATTGATGAACTTGTGATATTTTTAATGCATCAAAATAGCAAAATAATTAAGTGACGTTGATTTACAATCTGCGCATAATTTTTATGCATACAAAATTTATCATATTGACATATCAGATCAGAAATCTTTAAATTAATATAATATTTGATGAAACGGGTGAAAATAATTCCACATCTTTGCTTTTGTATTTTATGGCAAAAACTGGGTAGTTCAGTAAAAAAGAGAGGATATTGTAAAATTAAATCATTCATGCTGCTCAATTTATTTATTGCAGGATTCTTCATTTTTCACTCTCTTTATCTCGACTTTTTACAATTCCTTTAATGGATGAGAAAAATCACCGTGTTAAATAGCCGAGTTGGATTGTAAAAAGATGCATTTATTGTAAAACGAAACTGAAAACTTGCCAAAAGATCATGATTTGGCGCTTTCTTATATTTAATGTGATTTTTTCCCTTTTTCCGCCTTGAATAAAACCCAATACACAATAACGTACAGCGCTTGAAGATAAATCTTGTATCAAAAGAAGTAAATCATTTCCACTTTCCACCCCTTTGCACTAATAAAAGATTTAAATTGCCTATAAATCGGGTGTTCAAGTGAGAAAAGAGACTCGGCTTTCCCGGCGGCAGTGATTATTTTGCAATAATGTAAGTTGGCTGTGTGAGTGAATGGAGTGGAGAGGCGCGGTCTTTTGTCAGTCTGGACGTCGAGAGGCACACATAATAGAATTGCATGGGATGTGACAAGAAGTGCCTGGTTTTCAAGAGAGCGACCTACTTTCGTGTTTTGCCCTCTTATAAAGCATCGATTACTTATTCACGGCCGGCTCAATGCACGAGATCGTACTCTCGGGTGCGCAAAAATTAAATAAAACTAGGTCAATTTATTAGTTTTATTACATGTTTATTGGCTTTTCCATTGATTTTTATTCAATATAAAACAAATTATTTGTTTTTCATCTTAATTAACTCTTCTCGCAAAGAGGGCAATCAAACAGATATTATCATACACATAACAGAAAGTGGCGTGATTCATCCGATTCATATTTGCCAGAAACCGTGGGACGTAACTCGAATTAAAATAACTTACAGCGCCTAATTAAAGCTTATCATCTCGTACTTCCAAACCAATCGAATGATAATTATTAATATATTTATTACAGAACCAATGATGTTATTCTCAAATTTTTGCAAACACAGTTGCGGAAGGTAAAGAGTTTAGAAGTTGAAAATAAAAATCGTTTTACATAAACACAGTCAAATGACAAGGGGGCAAAAATATCTTCTTAGTTATTTCTCTCTAATATCGATTTCCACATTATTTTCTTCCTTAAAGCCGCTTTAAGCCTAATTCACATGCAGATGTTGAAAATTTTTGGACTTGAGTCATCACCTAGACAGACACTTACTTCTTTTAAAATTCAAATATAATCATTTCATTATTTCCATGAGCCGGCACACAACGTGGATTTAAAATCGTTACTGCGCTACAGTTGGCCTAACTCTTTTACAAAATATAAACATTATTTTGTCTATTCTCCACTTCGGTTTCTAAATTTGTTTTTGTTTCGATTCTCGCGTGTTTCAATTCAAGTTGAGACATCCATGACAAAAAAAGAGATTAATTGATTAATATATGGACTCGGAATAATCGAGTCGCGCGGGCGTGCAAAGCAAGAAGAAGTGAGTTGCTGTTAATTCTCTCGTGTCACGCTGCAATGGTAGTACATAATTAGAGCTCAGTAATTAATATAATAATATATGCTATGTAGTTGCATAGAATAATAAATTTATGTAATTAAAACCATGCTATGTACATTTTGTGTTTTGCTGCAGGGGCTGACGGAGACTGACTGAGTTGACTATATCAGAAAAAATGGGTGGCACAAGTTGAAAAATGGTTGAAAATCGCAAAAGGTGTCGCCAAAAATTATTGTTGTTTTCCTTTTTCGAGAAAATATTTTTTGATCAAAAGAGTTGTCCTATTTTTCTGAGCCCGTTCAAAAATTATCTACTATTGCTCGAGTTTAAATTTAAACAACATGGCAATTTGAGAGATTTAACATCTTTCAGCAAATTGAATTTCAATTTTCTATCGATCCGAGGCCAATCTGGCCCATACACAATTTATATTCCAAATCGACTACAAATTCTGGCAATAGAACTAAAACCGCAGATCCGTGGCCCGTGGACGCCTCGCTGGAAGTGCTAACAGTTGCTCAAGAGAGTGTCAACAACTTTATCGTTAATAATATATAATTATTTGTTGTAATTTTATCCATCATCATTTATATCAACAGGGGCGTGTGTGTGAGATTGATTGCGGGGGAGATCAGTTCGTTGGGCGCTCGAACAAGTCTGTGAAGGAGCACAAAATCGGCTACAACTCCATGTCTTGCGCCTCGTCCTCGCTGAAGTCAGACAACGACGACTCACTGTCCGAACTGACCGCTTTTTGCTCCTGCTCACGCAGCGCCTCCTCGGTCGCGTACTTCCGCACATACTCCTGCACCTTTTTCTTGTACTCCTCGGGCTTGTGCAGGTACATGGCAGCGGCGTCCCCATTCAGGGGATCGATTGGGTTTGGATAGGTCAGTAGCTGCGGTAGGAACGACTCGAATATGTTGGACAGGTCGTACAGCGCCGTCCACGCCTGATTTATAACGTCCAAGCACACCGTTCCAGACACTTCGTCGATGTTTGGGTGGTAAACCTACGCAACAGTGGAAAAGGTTACAAAAGATTATTACGATTATTAATTAACCTTTAAAGTGGAAAACTACAAATTTTTACTTGTAAAGTATATCAATTTATGCAAATGAACCTACAGCTCTGGCATTACTGCGGAATACAAATATAAATTGAGGGCAAAAATGACACAAACTTTGGCTGAAGTGGAAGATTATAAAATTGTATCTTCTTGAAATGCGGCACAATAATTTAATAACAAAATTATGGAATACAGATTTCAAGAAACACATTTTATTATTTTTAACTTTTTAAATTTAAACTAGGGATGAATTGATCTATTGATTTGTGCTCTTTAGTATCCATGAAAAATTTTTGATGCATATTGTAAGTAGAGCAGCAAATATTTTGAATATCTATTACTTAAATTTGAGGTCATAAAGCTTCAGAACTATCAATAAATTGTGTAAATTAATAAAAAATTTGTTTTAATTTAAAATGCTACCATTCTTATTTAAAGCTGTTATTATTCAGCCTGAAAATTGGGGAAAAAATTACTTCTTTCTTTTATTTTGATTGATATAAAAGGTCAAAAGTTTGCCTATAAATAAAATGATCAATATCAACCCAAATGGAAAGTATCCTTGAAATCATTCTGAACTGAAAAACTGTATTTTTAACTAAAAAATTAATGTTCTTTAAAACAATATCAATTATTTTTTGGTAAAAGATGATTAATTTTTTTAAATTTGTATTTATTTAGATTTTGTGGAAAATATTTACTCTTATCACTTGTGGGAACAATGTTGGTGATGAGCTGAAATTTTTATCTTTGGCATAAATATCAGAAGAAAAAAAAACAATCAATTACTGCAAAAATTTAGCAAAAAGATAATAAAAAAAATGGCATTGGAGAAATTGAGGGCAATAAAAAATGTGACTCAAATCACCTTATTCATGAACCCGATTGATGGCGACTTGAAAGGGTACTGCTCTGGCAGGTGGACCCTGACCTTCCACACTCCGCCTTCGTACGGAGTGCCCCTGGTGCCATAGAACTTGACGCAGAACTCGTTCAGGCCCCCCAGGATGGTGACTTCATGCTTGCTCTCAATCAGCTTGATGACATCCGTGTCCATGCGACGCTTTCCTGCGCTCGGCGACGACATTTTGCGGGCACCTGTAATTCCGACCGTCCGAACGAGAGCAGTGGTGCGTTCTTCTCTCGGGGTGAAGGTGCGCTGCTCCTTTCAGTCCTCTCTATCTGCCTATTTGCGTCTCTCGCAGCTCAAGGCTGTTTTACAACATGGAGGCCAGCTGACTGGCTCGACTCGAGATCGCCTGCAAAGCAACAAGATTTAGCGTCATTCTAACCTCGTTCCGTGCCAATTTTACGCTCAACCCAAACGCCAAACCCTGACGGAGCGATTGGGAAGGGAAAGGGGTGCTACTCACGCTGTCCACCCTGAGTTTCGAGCTACGCAAAATCTGACTTTCAATGGCAATCTGAAGCGATTAGTTTGCTGCACGGCCTGTTCACTCCTATGCGCAGGTTTGTACCACTGTTCATACTTGTGAACTGGCTGGTCACGTGACCGTTTCATTGGTTGTTATCATTATTTCGTTTTCCAATAGATGGCGCTAGAAGGCGGAAAACGATTGAAAGTACATAAAATAATACCTCATGGGATTGTTTTGATTGATTTGTTATTTATCAAGTTCTAACAAGCTAAATTCTCAGACTGTTCGTAAGTTAAAATAGAATTACTTTGGAGTGGAATTAAAATATAAATCATTAATGATTTATTGTTTTTCAGCTCTAATTGGCTTTTTTTAAATGTAGAAATGTACATAAATATTGCATAATTGTTTTTAGTCGCAGCTACTCGGCTCGGCACTCTCGACAGAATTGAATTACATACTTTTTATTATTTATTGATTCATTTGCAGAATACCGAAAAGTCTCACCCAATTGATTTCAAATTGTACCAGGGATGATTTTGGCTGTATCCAAGAATGATGATGAAGGGAAAAGAAAAATGCCATCGGTGGAAGTTGAAACAGTTAATAAGACGGGAAGATCTCATCTAAACGTTCAAGTTAGGAAGTGCCATTACATTGATTGTGATAGCACTTCATTAAATGGAATTGATCTTAAATGTGCTCCAAAGGCTTCAAGTATAAATAATGCTGAGTGAGTAACATTATTACAAAAATTAATTTTTGAATATTATTAATACTAAGAATTCGATATATTTTTTATAACTATTATTGTATCCATATAATGTGTGTCCGTATTTATGATTTTATTCAGATTTTATTAATTTAGTGAGTTTGCAATTTTCCTTCAATTCAAAATTACATACTAATAAGAGCAATTTTTATAGGCGTAGAAGACAATGGTTGATAAACATGGGCTTGCCTGCTGATGATGAGCGAACAGATATTCGATGTTGTGTCAAACACTTTGACATAAAATTTTTTTACGGAAATGGTAAACTGATCAAAGATGCAGTACCTAAGCCATGGGTAAGAAACTTGAGTATAAGAGATTGCTATGCATTGAAGTTTTATGAAAATAATGTGTAATACTATCAGATGCCAGCTTTACCGACGAGAAATCTAGATCCAGATGTGGAAGATGTCAATCCAATTGGGGAGTCTTTGGATTGTTCAATACGAAAAACATTTGATGCTGTTGACGGTCCATTGCGAGGATTGGTGAATATGGGGAACTCATGCTATATAAATTCACTTTGCCAGGTATATAAAAAAAATAAGAAGTACTTTGTCAATGTATTTCACAGAGGCTACAATTGGCTGCTATTATTTCCATGGTTATTTGTTTTAGGCTTGGTTTGCATGCAGCTGGATTTGGATGCTGCTTAATAATCACAAAGAAGAAAGTTGCCAACTCTTGAAGTCTAAAAGTTGCATTATTTGCTTGCTGAAAGAAGTTGGTCGTGAGGTAACAAAAACTTGTGCTGAGCCTTTCACACCCTTGGACTTGCTTACACAAATTTGGAGTAAGTTAAAAAAGTAACATTTGAACCTTATTGGATTAGACTATTATTCTTATAGGCACAAAAGATTTTGACGAAGGTTTACAGCAGGACTCCATGGAATTGCACAGAATGTTACTCGAAAAGATTGAGTCGTTGGATAAGAAGGGAGTGAGTGAAGTTTTCGAGGGCAAAGAAGTTTTTGAGCGTAAGATTAAAATATATATTTAGAATTACATTGCATCAATATCCTCCAAAACAATATGCAGGTCAATGTTTAGTGTGCGGCAAAACCCGGTATTTAAGTCAGCCCATGTACGACCTTTGCCTACCCATGGCATCTGATTTGAAGGAAGCTCTGCGTATTTACATGAACAGTGACGATAGCTGCGTTCATGAGCCGTATTGCTCACATTGCCACAGAGGAACTCCACAAAAGGAAATAATTTATTTTCAGGAGCTTCCAAAAGTTTTGGTAATTCAACTGAAAAGGTGATTTTGATTCAAATTTTGATGAGCGTTGTGTAACGGGGATTTATTTAATTTATGTTTTTTATTATTTTTTCAATTTATTATTATTTACTCTGTAATTAATTTTGTTTCTGTTTCCAGCAATCCAAATGAAAATGTGCAGACCCATTATGTGACTAACAAAACTGAGAAGAACATAACTTTTATTTTTTCAACTCGTCTTGTTTTTTTTGCAAGCGTTATTTTTATTTGTTATCAGGGAAGTTTTAGAGTTAAAAAAAGAACATTTTACTTTGTGATTTCATTTTGTAGGTACATGGGTGAAGGAATGTTATTGGTGGTGTTGAAAAAGTGATGTCTGTGGTTTTGTGTTGATGTGCCTCATCAGGTGGTGTGTTCATTTCAAAGAATTAATTAATACGGGATCTGGTATGGATTGAATAAGTGATATTATATTCATACTAAATTATTCTCTATTCAACTTCAATAATAAAAATTTAGGTTCAGCAACCAGGCCAACCAGCTTTTGAAAGACTCTGGTGAAATTGTCTTGGACTATGGTTTGACGTTGAAGCAGAGTATCTTTGCGTTAAAAGATGGCCAAATTATAAAAAAAAATGGAACTGAGGAGGTGTCATTTTTTTGCAAAGCCATCATCCATCATGAAGGTGATTTGAGCAAAGGACACTATATTTGTCAAAGTCTAATGCAAGATGGTACGATCAATATTTACAACGATTCGAAAGTAAGCGAAATTCACATATCTTACAATTTTATCAGTACATTTCCCTGCAGGTGTCCTCCTTCACTGTACTGGATGGTGACAGCCAGAAAAGTGACACAGGTTACATATTATTTTATGAGAGAACCACTTCTGATTCTGATACTTCTTTTGAACACTTTCAATCATCATGTAAGAAAAATAATTATGCACAGAAAGCTAATAAAGCATTAAGAAATATGATCTTACATGATTTGTTATGATTATTTTGAAGCTTCGTACAATAATTAATTTTATTTTCAATGTAGGTAATAGAACACCAATGAACAACCCTCGAACCGTCGAGAATCAAAACCTTTCGCCTCAGATGCTGCAGTCATGGACACCATCTTCATCACCAAGGCTACCAGTTAGAAGTTCTCCTCGTACACCACTTCGCCCATTGAACTCGGATTCCAGCTGTGGTCTGATAGGAGAAAACTGTCAGGCTTCACCACAATTTCAGCAAGAAACGCCTTCATCACCCTATCTGCCAGCCAGAGGCCCAAGAACAAGAAAGCTGCAAATTTCTTCGCAAGCAGACAATTATCGATTTTTGAATGATAACTCTGAGCTGGAGCCTGCAACTTCTCCAGGGTCTCCATACAAACCAAGAAAAAAAATTCAGAGACTGAATAGTTCCAGCTTTGGTGGATCTACAGCATACAATCTGCTTCAAGGGTGCCCTTCGTCCAAGAAGAATCTCAAGGCAGAAGTGGTGAAACAATATGTTTTGCCTCATCTGCCTTTAAATCGGTCGAAGCCTTTTGGTCGGAAACCAACAGACGAACAACATAGACAATCATTACCGCAGCATCAACAAACACCATCTCAACAAGAACTACCACCTCCACCACCTACGTACCCACCTCAGACTTTGCCGCAAGTAACCACTACTCTGCAGCAACCACAGCCACCGCATGAACAACAGGTAGCACCGCCATCCGAGAACGATACACCTACGACACCACCACAAGAACAACCTCGTCCAACACCACCTCAACAGCCACAAGTACGACAAATACTACCACCTCCACCACGATCCGGACATGCGTGCCCACCTCGGACTTTGCCGCAAGTAACCGCTACCCTGCAGCAACCACAGCCACCGCATGAACAACAGGTAGCACCGCCATTCGAGAACGATACACCTACGACACCACCACAAGAACAACCTCGTCCAACACCACCTCAACAGCCACAAGTACGACAAATACTACCACCTCCACCACGATCCGGACATGCGTACCCACCTCGGACTTTGCCGCAAGTAACCGCTACCCTGCAGCAACCACAGCCACCACATGAACAACAGGTAGCAGCATCTGAGAACGAGCAAACTCCAACACAACCGCCTCTATCACCGCCTCAACAACCACAAGTAGCATCACCTCAACAAGAATCACCATCACCACCACGTCATGCACAAGAACAGCAACCTCCACGTCAAAAACAACTACCAGCAAATCCATGTAACATAAAAAGATATTAAAAAAAAAAAAAATTACGGAGGACCATACGCTTTATTAAATATTATCTTTTCTTTTTCCAGCCAAGAAAACACTATTTGAAAAGCTTGACAGAAAGAGTTTGATTGCATTTGCAAAGAAGAAGAACAAAGAGGTCAAGAGGTTGAAAAAGATGAGGCTTAAAAGAAAAGCCACCAACCCTGCTTCGAAGGAAGCTGCCATACTCTATTTACGAAAACACCTGCCTACAAAATGCGTCGATTTTATTGATCGACAAATCAAGCTTCAGAAAGTAAGATTTCATATAATAATGATGTTTTAATGAAATAATAACTTAATCTCAATAGGTGAAGCCACAAGGTCGAAGATATGATCGACAAGACCTTATACTCACCATGGGTCTTCAGAAAGGGGGACGAAGAGCAAGAGCGGCTGTCAGTGACATGTTCATTCTTCCATCAAAAAAAACTCTTCTTCGTTTCACGCAAGGGCTAAGCATCGAACCAGGAATAATTGAGCCTATATTGGAGGGTGTTGGAGATTTTACATCAGATTTAGAGGATGAAAGGGACTGTTACGCAGTTCTCTTGTGGGATGAATTATCCATTGATGAGTTTTTGATGTGGTCCTCAAAGTGGAAAAAATTTCAAGGATTTAGCGATTATGGGCCAGGAGAGGAGACCACCAAAGAATTGGCGGATCACGCACTTATTTTTTTCGTTGTTCTGCTCAGAAACAAGAAGGTCAAGGTTGGTTAATTTTTCTTTTTATTTATATTGTTTTTCATTGTGGTTCTAAATTTCAGTTCCCAGTCTCTTACTATTTTTCTACAGGAACCACGCCTTCATCAGTCT